ATCATTAGTGTTCAGTTTATTCACAAAACCTTAGAGCAAAAATAATAATGAGAAAAACGACGTTTTACTTACCAAAAAGTCCATTCCTTCTCCACAATTTGTTACCACACATAGTAGTCCAAGTGCTTTGGCTAAATCTTTGACTGATTCCGTTTTGCCTGTACCTATAATAAATACGTAAGAATTAATAGAAATACGAATAGAAAAATATTATAACTCGTACCAGCGGGACCAGCAGGTGCTCCTCCAAGAAACATAGATAAAGCCTAGAAAAGCAATCAACAACGCATTAAGAAGTACAATTTATTTATCGAAAATCCGACATACTTGTGTTATTGTTAAATATATTCTGTCTGTCAATGGTGTAATAACTAAACGTCCATTTAAACCCATATATTCATAACCGTAACCAAATTCACCGGTACATTGTCGTATAACAAGATCATCCGTATCTTTTGCCCAATAGAAACGAAGTTGTGATTCCCATTCAAATTCTCTTGCATCCAAAATACTAAAAAATAACAATAATAATAAAAGATATGTAAATTATCAGTTAATAGAAAGAAGTTTACAATGTTTACCTGTCACGAACAAAACTGTCAACAATATCTTTGGCATGAACATCAATGATTAAAACAGTATTGAATTTTTTTCGATCATTATTTGATAATGGAGATCGAATCTAAAATAAGAATGAATCATTATCTTATATTTTTAGTAGTTTTATTTTGTCTTATTTTACTTCAGTAACAACTTCTTCTAATTGAAGATGTAATTGTTTTGCATAATTTTTCATTCCCATTTTATTTCCTTTTGCTACTTTTTGAAATATATCTTCGACTTCCCATGTCCACCATATTTGATTTGAAGCTAAGACAACCATACCAATATAATCATACATCCATTGAACTCTAAAAATAAGATAAGAGTAAGATGTATATATAAGATAATACGTTTAAAAAAGAAAATAGACCTCGATTTTCTGTGACGATAATAATAGACAGCTTCTTTTGTTATTAATTTATTTGTTCGTCTCATTTCTTCTAGTACTAAATAAACGAATAATTATTGTTATAAAATGAATATATGATAAATCATTGAATATTAATTACCTTTTGTCATCCAGTCTTCTACTCGTCCCTCTGTATTTACAGTTTGTTTAAATGTCATCTCTTCTTTTTCAGCTGATATCATTGCTTGTGCTTGTGTCAATGTATCCGATTGTTTCATTAATCTTAAACTGGCCACATTATCAAACATTTTTATAATATGTTCTTGTACAGCTGATGGTTCAGAACTGCCCAAAATTGATAATAATTCATCATCAGAAATAAAAAAAAATCTTGGAAATGCATTTCGTTTTGAATCTAAATAATCATTTAAACTTTTTTGACATCGTTCTAAACCAACAAATATTGATTCTAAATCAGCTAAACGACTCGGTTGATGACATTGTTTTTTTATTGATGGATCACGATAAGTATCTAACATAATCGATTTAAATAATTTGTTTTTTTCATCAAATTTTTTCGCTTCTTCTGGTAATTGTGATCGAATATCACCACTAACAAAAATACCTTCAAGATACATCCACTTTCGTTGTACATTTAGCCATAATTCGATAACCTAAATAACAGAATATATATATATATATATATTTATTTATAATCAGAATTAAAGGTAAAATAATATTTACTTCAGCAATTAATGATAAACTTTTTTCCCATTGTTGTACAGTTGATAAAAATGGTCCAATAAATCTTGATGCAGCCATACCTTGTAATGCCATTGTATGATCATCTAATGTTTGTAATACTTCATCACATGAGCCCAATACATATCCTCGATCTTGATTTCCTTTGACATATTTTGGTACAGTAAATTTCATTTTTTCCCATGTATCTACTACTTCTTTAACACCTTTTTCTATTTGTAATTCTTTTGTTGCTGATGTAACAATATTTTGAATAACATCATTAAAACGTTGTAAATTCATTTGAAATAAATTATCTAATGTAAAACTTTCCGGATTCATATCAAATTCAATTTGTGTTTCTTTCATTAACATTTTCCAATGTCTTTCTCTTAATGCATCATTTTTTAAATCGGCCATTAATGGTAATGATTCTCGAAATTCTTTCATTGCTATTTCAATTATTTTTGCTAATGGCATACTTTTTATTTCACGTGACATTTTTTTTAATTCTTTAATATAATTATCAATACCATCCAATAATATTTGTACATCTAAATCACGCCATAATGTTTCAGACCATAATTCACGACTTTTTGATTGTTGTTCATAAAGTGTATATAATTTTTCTAAATTTTTCATTTCTTTTTGAATAACATATAATTCTGGATAGGATGATATTGGTAAATTAAATAATTTTTCAGCATTTGTTAATTCTTGTTTATCAATTTCTAAACGATTTAATTCATCACGATAAGTTTTCATTAATTTTAAACCTTGATTTAATTCTGATGAATTGTGAATTGAACCGGGTCCTTGACGAGCAAATTTTTCAGCAAAATCACGAATGGCTTTTTTTAAACGATCAATTTGTATTAATGTTATTTCAGTAAAACGTCCTTTAACACGTTTTAAACCCGCATCACGATGTTTTGAATTCAATGATATTTCATGCCAACGATTATCTAACGATTTTAAAATAGCTAATTCTTCATCACTTGTCTTAAAAAAAAAGAAAAAGAAAAGATAAAGATATCAAAGTAATTCATATGTTTCTTGTGCTAGAATGGTATAAGACAGAAATTAAAAAATGTTATGTTGGCCATGTGTATGTAGTTGACAAGATGAAACAGCAGCTCATTTTTTTTTTCTAACTTGTCCAGAATAATCAATAAGAAAGACTAAACTTGCTTAACTCATTTAAAACTATTTTGCATACTAATAATAACAACTCTTACTTCGACATAACGCTATTCTTACTCTATCGAAAAATGATATGTAAAGTTTTGTTCTATAAATTTTTAAATTTATTAGAGATTCAGAAGCGATTTTCGTCACAATCGATGTATTACTGAAGTTTAATAACTATTGTAGTAACATATATACTTCATTTCTCTTACACTCATTTACGTTTGTCAACTTCTTTACAATATCAAACCTTTGTAACTATAAAATTCTATGCTGTTTAACTTTGACTTTTGCGTGTGCCTTTTTCTTTCTCCTACATTTAAACTTTTTCTATTGTACGATCATCTTTTCGCAATATGTAATAGGATTTACTTCGATTTGTTATCTTCAATAAAAACAAGACTTGGATTAAAATATGAAACAATCTGCTAACTACAATACGGCAATTTTGATATTAAAAAATGTAAGAAAACTGATTAACATTAACATTGCATCAAAGTTCATTCCAATTCTTACTTTTTGATTATAACTTTCAAGAAGATGATATTTGTCTTTTGTTTGATTGATACTTGTTTCAAATATGTCCGATTTACTTTGAATATCTGCTATTGTTTGTAATACAAACTGAAGAAAATAAACAAAATGTAAAATTATATTAATTAATATTCAATATAATTTTAGAGATAAATTACTTTTAAATCTTCGATTGTATCTGTACTTCGTTTTAAATTTGTATCATATTCCTAAAATATGACAAATAATATGTCATCATCATCAACATCATCATTATCAACTATGATTATTCTCATATTTACTTCGAGTTTATCTCTTAATTCAAATAATTCTTTTTTAGCTTCATCAGCTAAAAATTTACTAAACATATGTATCGTTTCTTCTGCATGTGTAACTAAATCATTTATAAATGAATTTAAATTTAATTGAATAAAATCAAACTCTTTCAAACGTGATGTTGGTCGTAACTAAAATAAAATAATTAATAAAACAAATTTTAGAAATTTGATTTTTTTTTCTATTTTTCAATCAAATTAAAATATTTACTTCTTCCAAATTTTTTTGATATTTCATGATTTCTTCATCAAATACATTCAATGATGGATGTTTTGAGAAAAATTTTTCACAAACAGCCAACTAAAATAAAATGATTCTAGTTTTAGATTATAATATTTAAAAAATAAAATAAAAATAAATTATACTTTGTCTGTTCGCCATAAATGTTTATAATTTTTAAATTTTAATAAAAATTTTTTCAAATTATTTGTTGTTATTTGAACTAATCCTTGTATTTGTTGTCCTATTTCATGTATTTCGGGTATATAACGAATATCATCATAGAATGTATATAGATGTTCAGTCTCCTGATTAGTTGATCCTAATGATTTTCCGCCACCACCGATCGATTGATTTTGTTGCTGACTCGAATCGATAATAGTTCCTCCATCCACTGTGCCACTTGTCTTTTCGAATTTTACTGGTGGACATTCTGTAATGTCAGAAATTATTCTATCACTCTGTACACTAGTATATGTAGTATATCTAACTTACCGATGCATGAATTATTTTTCCATCGATGAAAAAAACTTGCGCTAAATAGAAGAAGAAAAAAAAATTCGAATAAATTCAATGAAGAGAGAGACTGTCTTAGTATCGTTTAAAGGTCTCGGTTTTATAATTGCTTGTTTTAGATCAATTTTGTATCTTTGACTTCTACTTTTGTTTTTTGTCCATTTGCTTCATAAGCTTATATTTGAATTTAACATACACGAACAAGCAGTGGTAATAATAATATTAAGAAAAAAAAACAACGTGACAATAAGAGACAGAAAGATATATAACATAGCGCTATAAGCAAAAAACACAAAGTAAAAGAAGTAAAAGAAGCGAAAAAAGAAGAGCGGCTAACAACAACGTAATTTATCTATTGATCACAGAAAAAAAAATATCTCTTCCTCTTTTTTTTGTTTTTCTTTTCTTTTCACAGATACAACAGCATCAGCAGATAAACATAAATTTGAATTTTAAATGATTGTATATTGAACTGATTAACAATGTTTTCTGCACAGTAAAAAGGAGAAAAGTGATATCAGACTGGAACACAATAATCCAAACATGGTGAGAGATCAAAGGTAAAATAATCACAAACAGGCTATCGAAAGAGAAGAGACAACGTCAGAAATTTTTTGCATACATATTATATATTGAAAAACATATTGAAGTATTTAGATTACAAAAGAATATATAAGGATCAATCTCCTGTTATTTTGATAATATACAAATTCTATTTTATATGCACACGACGAAGAGAGATGAAACATATATGCTCTTCTTTTCTTCTAGTTGACAAATACTGGACAATTATAAGAAATAATTAGATGCCGGATTATTCATATATACAAAAGAAATAAAAATAATGGAAGATAATTATTGTTATTATTAAATAGAATAGAATTCAAAAGATAAGATATATTTATTAGCTTTTAGATGGAAACGAGCTTCTGTTAGATGAGAAACTACCACATAAAACTACTAGTTTCATCTAAGATAAACATATAATCACAGAAAGCTCTACTTAACATACCAAATTATACTTCTAAACCCACGAAAATCTCTAGCTCTAGTGTCAATTAGTTATCACATTTGCTTAAAAAATATATATTAGAAATGATAACAAAATATGAGCATAGAGCAAGACTGATAATTAAATATACACTGAACACAATTTTTAACGAAAAGAATTTCTTAATAATACAACTACTTTGTTTGTATCATTTCTAACGAAAGTCAAAGTGAAGGACACTCATTATGAATAGACAATACACATTTTTCAGCGAATAAAAACGGACAGTAGTTACACAAATATACTTTTATCTGTCATCCTAAAGACATATTGGAAAAAATATTACGTTTACAGTTAGAATAAAAGAAATGAAAGAGAGTCAACAGGAATTGAAACAACAAAAATAAAAGACAATTATTTCTCTGTACATTATATATCTACAAACATATTATTTAGATAGAGCTTTTGCACATAAATCTTCATATGCTACAGCATCTCTCAGTTGTAATGCTTTTGATCGTAATTCTGTTAAATATTGTTGTTGATCTTCAATTAATTCAATTAAACATTTTGCATAATTATCTCTATCATAGTTCATATTTGTTGATAAATCTAATAAACCTTGATGATCGCTAACAATTTGTGGTAACATATCAATTAGAGCATTATGAGATTCTAATGTTTGATCTTCAATGTCTTGACTTCTAGCAATGGCATCTTCAAATTTTCTTGTTGCCTCTGATTTCACTTGATGAACACTCTGACGTTTCATTATCGATTGTTTTGGTGCTGCTGTCGTTTGCTGTTGTGGTTGTGATTGTCTAGGTGTCGGTTGAGAAACACTCATTGTCAAGCCAGCAGAATCATCTATATCATCATCATCATCATCATCGTCTATATCATCTTCTTCATACAGTGGTCCACCGGCATTGCCACCGTTATCACTGTCAACACCGCCACCATTACCGCGAATTTTAACTTCATCAGCGTTCAATTCTTTGACACGATCAGCATAACGTAGCGTATTCAATGTATGCTCAGCATCACTATTACCTGGAGAAACCATAGCGATCATACATACTTTCGATTTTTCACCGATAAATGAATCTCGCAGTACTTTTGTCAATGTTGAACCTCGAAATGGAATATGTTCAGCATTACGTCCTAGGGCACGAATACATTCTTTTAATGTTAATAATGATTTATTAATTTGAGCACCTAAAATAAATTAGAGATGAAACCGCTTCGAATACATTGCTTTACAAAACAGTTTCTACTCGATTGAAGTTCTAACCGACGTCGAACTATTCAATATTTAAACTTGATTTATTGTTTGCGTACCTTCCATTAGTGTCACTTTATCAGTTGTTTGTGTATCTCGCCCACGTTCACTACCAGCTAAATCGATCAATGATATTTTTCCATATTCTTTTACTGAACTTTTTCGCTTTAACGTTATTTGAAAAACAGCATGTGAACGTGATGAATGTTCATTTGCCGATGTTGTTCCAGATGTTCGAACACTCATTCCGCGTCGGATTAACTGCATAACATCTTCAACCGATTCAACATGTTCTTCTTTTTTTCCAACAACTTGTACCAATTGTTTATGATCTTCTAATACACGTAAACGTTTTTTATCATTAAATAAATCAAATACTTTTGTACAATAAATTTCAAAAAATGTACAATAAACATCGAATTGCTGTTTATATTTTGTATTTAATAAACGAAATATATCATTGGCTGTTAATGCATAAATACCCTTTGAAAAATCAACATCACGTTGACTTAAATCTCCACCCATCGTGAATGTTTTTCCTAGAAGGAAATAAAATAATAAAACTGATTAACCAACAAAACTTAAATGAAGATAGTCGTGATAGACTTCTCTTACGCTTGGAAAACTGGGATTTCTACGATCTGATCAGTCTTCAGCGGTACCAGTGTTAGTGCACTGCAGTGTGTCACTAACGAGCGTCATAAAGAATGGCAGCCAGCTATCAGATGCGATTTGAGTATATTTTTGTGTAGTTTTTAACGCGCTCTTTCCCATCACGTACGCTAATGTTTGTTTGAATCAAAATGTTCAACGTAAAGATTGACTTCAGAAAATCAGATGAGACCAGTAAAAGTTTCGGACCTTTTCAGCACGTTATAAGTGAAGAACTTCTTTCAAATCTTAGTGATCCAGCAATATAGACTACTCATTTATCTTCAAAATAAAATAATTTTTTTGAAAGTCTAGTAAACTACGCTTCTTCTATTCTAAGGCCTACACGACAGTTACGTCGGCATTTTTCTCTCACAAACGTTTATCAAATAAAACAAGAATAACTGTTTGTTAACTTATTTTGTTATCCATTTTATTACTTGTCACTAGTCTCATGCCATTTTCACTTTCGGATTTCGCAGTAAAACATACATCTTTTGTAGAGATTTAAGCGGGGAATCTTCTGGTAGAAAAATAAAGTTGTTTACGTTGAAGAAAGTGGAGAAAAGTTGAAAATATTGAGGCTGCCATTCTTTAGATACCTATCTATGGAATATTCTTCTGGCTATAATTCTTCTATGAGTAAAAACTGTCACAGAGTCCCTTTCTCGAAATCACATCAAATTTTTAGTCCAGTCTCTAAATATTTCCTTCCCAATACAAACGATTAGCATAAAACCTAACTTACCACTGCCTGTTTGACCATAAGCAAACACTAGCGGATTATTGCCTTGAAATAATGCTTGTACAAGTGGTTGAGCTGTGAAATGATAGACTATTTCATTGCTACATGTTTCATGAAAACCATAATCAAAACGAAATTTTTGATTGTCAATATATTTCGTTAAATCAACCTTAACTTTTGGCAAATGAACAATAACTAAATCTTTATTTGGTATTGTTAGTACATCAATATCTTTTTTGCCCAATTCTTTTTTTGTTATTGGACGTTTACGTACACAGACACATATTTTCAAATCCTTTTGTAGTTCATTCATTTGTACTAATTTAATATCTAATTGTTGACGATATTCTTGTACCATAGCTTGAAATTCCCAAGCGGGGATCGATTGATCAACTTCAGCTAATTTTTGTCGACGTTCACCTTGCTTAGCACGACGTTCTTCACGCTTTTGTGCGATACGTTCAATTTCTTTAACTACTTTTGATTTTCCCTCTGATTGTTGCTGCTGTAGCATTTGCTGCTGCTGTTGTTGTTGTTGTTGCTGCTGCTGTTGTTGTTGTTGTTGTTGTTGCTGTTGTGGTTGTTGTTGTGGTTGTTGTTGCTTGATTGGAATTGAAACGATCGCGTTAATTACTCCTCGTTGGCTATTACGTTCATTTTGTTCGTCGTTATGACCTCGCAAAGGTGAATTCGATATACTAACTGGCCGATTTGATAGCTGTTGTTGTAAACGATTTCGCTGTGGTTGTTGATTTACTGCAACTGGTGGTGTTGCAGCAATAGTTTCATACTGATCTGATGGAGATGTCTCCTGTTGTTTAGAACGACGATTTGAATTTGAAACTGTTCCACCATTTGTATTATGGCGATCTTGATGATCGTTGGTGTTATTATCATCAATACCACCACCAACGCCATTCGTTTGAGTTGGCGGAGTTGAAAATAAACTTGGATTCAATTGTATAATCGCATCTAAATCAACTTCTTTTCCTTTCCCTTCGTTACGCTCTTGCCACTCGACTGTGACACTTTTAGCTTCATGATTAATGGATGTAATAACAGCTTGATGAATACGACCGTTTGAACGTTGAATATCAACTGTTTGTCCGGCATGTAAACGATCTATTGGATTTCCGGGCATGATTTTTTTTATTTACTTATTACAGTTCAATAAGATAGATGTAAAACACGTTTAAAAATAACTGTAATTCAATAAGTGCATGATAATAAATACGCAAGTAGAAGGTACTCTAGTTTCTATTACAAAAATCTAAAAGTTAATTATGAAAAAAAGACTCTTAAATTACTATTTCGTCTAATTTTTCTCTTTTATAATCATTCTAAATAATACATTTTGATATATAAAGCCTAAGTTTACTCTTTTCTGCAACCTTCTTTTGAATTTGTAATACACACTTTATAAACGACAGACGCTTGCCAACCTACTGCAAACAACAGCAGGCGATGTTCACGTTGAAGAATAGCAGAGCTATTGTGAGATCAGTCTAGTATTAAGATTCAGGTACGAACATAGTAAATGTTATATATCATACTATAGTCATACGCAAGGCAAGAGACACATATATCAGCTATAATGTACAAGACTTCTTTTTTAATAAAATAGTTTTTGTCCCTATAATCGGCTAGGTTCTTTTTCTGAGTAATTCTACTGTATCTGAAACTCATGATTACTAAGTAACGCCTTTGTTTTTCACGAAAATAGTTATCTCTACTGATTGGCCTGACACGCTGTCAAATAAACACGGAATCAAGAGGAAAACAAGAAATGTGAAGCGCCAAAATACAATACCGTCACAAAACTCGTGTGTATATGATATAAAGGAACGATATATCTGGTAGCTCTAATGTGCCATTTCTATCCTATCTCTTTGTCGCAAATCTCCTTCGTTTTACTCATCAGCAAGAGGAATCGCTTAGCAACACAACGGTAGAAAAAGAAAATGTTTTGGCATCGTCGACAGAAAGAAAGAACGAACGTTGAGAAGAGGAAAAAGAGATGAATAATCAGCGTTACATAAACGTTTAAACTTATATGCAACGTAAACGCTTAGTAGACAGAAACAAAACAAAGAAAAAGTGATCATATTTGCGACGTATATCATAGAATTGTGATTGAATTACGTGCAGAAAATAGACCACTTATGAAATTGAATAATAACTGATGAAAATAGAAACTGCAATATTTATTTTTTACTAAGCAAAGAAAGAAGAAAACATAGTGTGAGTATTTAGAACGGTAAACTTCAGTTTACCGTAATATAGAGAGTAATCGTATTAGAAATAGAATAACTAAAACAGATATGTGAAGTTAATTGTCATGCACATTTTATAACCAATATTATTTCGATAGAGAATGTAAAACAAAGTCAGATAAATGCTATAAGATCTGTTTTCTTTAAAATATCGTAAAAAACTTCATTGAATTACCATACAATATAAATTGATAACATCGCTTGTATTTAGTACATGAAGATGTACACAAATTTCTTTGTCGGTTATCAACAATATGAGACGAAAATATTTCTCGCATATCAAAAGGTCATAAATATAACGCAAATTATTGACATAGAGTGATTACTTTGAGCACTGATTATAAATCAGAGCATTTAGAAAGGGACAAATATGTACTTGTTAGTTAGTCCTCAAAATAAAATAGATTTTAACTTACACTTCGACACAATCACGCATCGACTGACTGAATAGTTTTAAAATTTCATGTTGATTTGGTTGTAGTGCAACTGCTGGAGCGACAAGAAGAGCGTTCACTTGAAATAATGGATTATGATTTTCAGATTTTAATGACTCAAATAACATTCGAAGATTTTCCAATATAAGCTAAATAATAAAATATGAAATGTATATGAGAATATTTAACACAATTAATCTGAATTTTCTTCTACTTTGCTAGTAATGAGCTAATAATTCTAAGTGTTCTATAAGTTACTTTCCAAACATTTTTCCTCTGTCCTAGCATTCATTATACCTCGGACAATGTTGCGAATACTTTTTTTTCCCAATATGCATAATAAGCAGTCATATTTGGTGATTGCGATGTGTTTGTATTGAACACTAATCCTTCGACTTTTGTTATTAATGGTCCAATTAATTTATACTTTTTTTGTAATTCAATTGCATCTTGTCGACGTCTATTTTCAACGTATTCAAAATATTCCTGAAAAAGTAAGAAAATGTTTTTCATTTCATTCATGTGCATCAAAAAGAAAATGTTACTTTGCAATAAACTAATGAGCCATCTGGATTAGGGTCTGGTTGACGAAATAAATTACATTGTCGAATTTCATCTAAAAACATTTGAATATCTTGAGAATTTTTCTTCATTTGATTGACTGTTGATTCCAGTTTTGATATTGTCTAAAAAAAATGGGTTAACGTTGAAGATAATATTGTTAAATTGTGAATTTCCCTCGATCACCTATACCTCTGATGTAACACTTATAAATTTTTCGTGATTTGTTGATGTCCACGGTAAACGTTGTGTTCCAGTCATCATGATACGTTTCAGTTGTTCAAGATTGTCTTTTAACAATAATTGTTCATGTTCTTCTAATGAATCAGTAAGGCGATCGTAATTTCTCAACATAATTTTTAATTGCATCGATATATGTTTCATTTTTTCTTCCTAAAACAGAATATTTGCCATGTGAAAGAGAAAATCTTTTATGATATTTGATAAGACATTACTACAAATGTTTATCTACGGAAAACTTACACTGAGCGCTAAATGACGAATGCCTTCTGGCAGTATATAATCAAATTGTTCTAAATATTTTGCTTCTGTCATCATTTCATTTAATTGTGGATCAAAATCTATTGCATATCGTGGTGTAAGACGATTTTGATCTATTAATTAATAGATCATGTCATCAATAAATAATAAAATATTTTGTTGTTTTCTACTTACTTTCATTTAAGGGTAGTTCTTTGAGAACATTACGTTTTTGTAACGCCGGTAATATTTGTTCAGTTTTTTGTCTCCATTCAGCAAATTTACTATCTTCATAGGCTTTCATTTCTCTGGCAACTCGAACATAATAACTTTTAATCTTGATATAGAAAAAAAATAACAAATTATTAAACGGTCACATCTAACTAATTTATGACGTTTTACTTGTTTTCCTAATTCTGTTTGCATTAATTGTTCTTTAGTATGTAAACGTAGCATGGTATGTTTTATTCGACGAAATAATGATCTTGACCATGCGATAGCACCAACAATTGGTGGATGATTCTTATTCAACGGTGGTTTATTTTTGTTATGTTGAAATATACTGTTAATTTCGGTTATCTAATGTAAAACAATGGAAATGAAAGTTTAGAAATTACGCAAAAAACTCTGTCTGATATACTTCATTATCATATTGTCTCAAAATATCGTTAAAACGTTTATGCATTTCCTCTTGAATTGTATTTCTTGTAGTATTTTTTTCAAATTTTAATAACATATCAAATGCCGTTTCAGCTGATCTAAAAATCGCGTATCGTTATAAGTAAAAAACAGAGTTCTTCAAGTATTTGTTTATTTACCTTAAACTTTTGAATGATTCTGATATAAAATTTTTCGTTTGTTCATCGATTTCTTCGATTTGTTGTGCATAATTTGCTGATACCATTTTCCATTTATCAATATCTTCTAATTTGAATGGATCACACGGAGCCTGAAGAAGAAACGCTACTAATAATCACACTGATATCCTTCATTTAGACTAAAGACCTACGTGTTCAATAAGTTCAAGTACTTTATGAACTCGATGCAAAATTTCGTCTATTTTATGAGGTTTTCCAGTGACAGCTTTTAATTCTGGCGTAAATATATTATAAAACTCTTCCAGTTCCTAGATAAAACAGAAAAAAGATAACACTAGACAAGAGAAGAGATTTCAATCTATACTTTAGCTATGGCAATAAAATCATTGTTAATTAATGCCATATGATCAGTTAATTTAAATAAACGTTTATAATCAAACTCCCATCTTGAATCACGGCCAGATTGTTCGATTTCCGCTCGTACTTCATAATAGGATTGACGCCATTTTTCTAACATATTTTTTGCTTCTGTACATTTTTCAATAATTTCTTCTGGTTGATGATTACTAAATTAAAAAAGTTAATTTGAATGCACTTTTTGTATGATCGTCAAATCATCGTGACTTCGTTTCTGTTTCTCTCTGCAGTAGTTTATCATTGTTTTGATCAGACAATAATATAGGGTCATCGATATAACGGGGTTGTTCAATAAATTTTAAGTATTACCTAAATAACGTTCGAATATTGATACTTCTTGCCACTCTTTCACACAATTGATTAGCAATTCTTTCCATTAGTGGTACCATTCGTTCGTCTTTATTGTAATGTCTTGAAATTATCCATACCATTCGTAAAGCACTCATCATTTTTGGTATTGTTTCGCTTACAATACGAAAACTAGGTGCATGTGTGACATTTTTAAAATGTCGTTCAAGTGTTGATAGAAATCTAGAATAGAAAAAATTGATCTATACTCAAATATTAACTGTATTTCAGTCTCATACTTGACATTGTCTTTTGCTTCGAGATAATATTTTGTTAAATCAGCTCTTGTATCACGAAAACTAGCTGGTGATGGATTTTCAGCCAGTTCTAATTTTTCTAAAACTTGTTCTATTTGGTCTTGTTTCGTTTGTTCAAATAAACTACTTAGACTAATATTTCTTTCACGCCAAAAATCAATTTCACCTAACGGCCCAGGAGAAGTGGGAATCTAATTAAAGTATACATTTACTATAATGAGTCCTGTTTTGTAGCAATGAAACAAACCTTTTTCAATTCTCGTTCTAATGCTTCTCGTATCTCGCCGTTCCATTTGTAGACAATTGCTTCAGCTGTTTCGACTATATCTCTATTTTGTTTTGTGATTTTTGCGACTTCTAATGTTGGTGGTAGTTCCAAACGAACTTCGCCTACAAAATGGACATATTTAGTCATTGACTATTTTATTAGAAATGGATAAAGTTTCAATACAAATATTACCTTCAAGTTGGCGTAGTGTTAGTCCAATTTGATTAAGAAACTTTTGCATTACAATTAGAAATTCGTCGCGTAACATGGTTCGTAGTTCAAGTTCTCGTTGACGGCGCTATAAAGAATAGAATTTTTGTTCAGATTGTCTGTTTTAGTTTTTTCACACTGGCTTCTTTTTAGAAATTTATACTTTTTCGTCACGTTTCGTTTCTTCGGTTTCTTCGATATTCTCTGGTGCTTGTGGTTCATTACTTTTGTTTGTTTTTGATGAAATTGGTCTTGTGTCGAGTTCTGGAGATATGTCTTCATGCTCCGCTGGATACGTTAATAATGGATTGTAAACCTAAATTACAAACAACTATTCCATCCACCGTCATCTGGCATTATATTAAAGTACAAACTTTAGTTAATGTATTTGCTAATAAATGCAATGTATGCCCATTAAGTAAACCATAATCAAGATATTTTGTCATTGATTTATCGGCTTCTTCATAAGATGGAGGAACAGGTATAGTGCCAGCACTTGTTCGTAGAAAATAAACACAGATTTTTTGGGTTATATTTGGAGGATAGGATTCACGACATAGATAAAGTATGGTCCGAAGATATTTGACTAGCTCATTTCGCTTAAAAGAACAACAAAATATCAGATCACTAAATTAGTCTTTAAAAGACGAATTCCTTACATATCGTTTTGGTTTTGGTATGTCTGGCTTAACTTCATCCGGATTAGCTTGATCTACACCATTTTCTACTGACACAGGTGTAGGACCATTTGCCACGTTTTGATTGGTATTTACATTATTCTGGGAATTGGCCTGCTGACCATTAACTGAACGTGGTGAATGAGCGATAGCGGTTTCATCATCTCCCGTAGCATCAGCGTCAGACGTTTCGTTTGGATCAAACTCTGGATTTAATGCCAGTTGCTCTTCGATCCATTCTTCTTCACCTGTGATATAAAAATCTTTATAGACTATTATGGCATAAAGGTAATTATTTACGTACTAATTTCAACTTGTTCTTCTCGCATTTCTTCAAAAACTTCTTTATAAAATAATAAGGCATTTTCATCTTCACTATCTGCACTTGTTTCATTTAAAAACTTTGCTACAATCAATTCGTTTGCACCATCTTCACCCTCTAGAAAATCTTCAAATGCTGGATCTTGTGAATCGATGTTCAACACATTGTAGATACAATCTTTCATCCATCGGAAACGTAGATCATCCATTTCTAAATTTAGATATCTACAAATCTACAAATAACAAAAATAGTTAAATTTTTGTCGGCGTTAAATCAAACGTTAATTTATACTGTCTGATATTACTATCAATTCAGATATACAATACGATTGTGAAGAATAGTTTTGTGTTTGACTCCTATCAGGACGATACAGTTATACTGTATTTTGTTTGGTTCACAAATACTTGACAAAAAGAATGAAGTAGAAGGTAGAATGTTACAACAATTGCTAGTTTTCTTCTGGAATTTTGTGTATGTAACATTTCTTTTTTTTGCCATTTGAATTATTAGTCGCTGAGGAACAGCCCTTATTCAGTCAAAATGACAGTGCATTATCGATTTATCCTGCTGCGCTATTTAACAGTTTTAGTGTAAGATCGACCAAGAAGGTGCTACAAGAGTATAATTGCAATCCTTATTCACTTCAAATAAGTCGCAGATGTGAAAAAGTTGAAATAATATTGATTCGTTAATTTTCGTTTCTAACGGATGGAGTTTTCTGAGTAGTATTAATGATTGACGCTTGAGTTACACTGTACAGATATAAAAGTTAGGTCTTAGGTTTTCCTTTATTGTTGTGGCTAAACTCGCATATCTCTTATTTGTCCTGTTTTAGGAGTTCTCCCTACTCACGTTTTCACTACTCAATCACTAACTTCTTGAGTTGAACAATAAATTGGACTCAGAAATTGTTTTATCCAATTCGTCTTCATCAGGAAAGAGGGAACATCCTTCACTTTAGTCATGGTTTAAGAAATAAATGAAAATTTCTCCATCAATAGAAAAAAAATTCCTTTGGTATTTTTCATTTTTTAAGCCATAACCTTCATACTTTTTCATAGTATCTATATTTAGACGAAAGAGAGTTCCTCCGTGCAGAGCTTGAGATATCGTTGAATAGTTTTAGATGATACATTAAATGGTTTGAATAAAAATGATGCTATAAACTGAAATAATGTTGATCTTTTCATTACATTTTCGAATGTTAGCGTGAAGCGAAAATGATTGATTAAAAAACAAAATTTATTTACTGCTTTATTATTCCACAAATACTGAAACCAAGATTAATTCCTACTCTACCTTCGAATTTTGAGTCAATTTATTATTTATTTTATTCATCATCTCAAATGTTACTATCCTAAGTGTTATTTTAACTATTTAAAAGAATAACTCCAAAAATTTCAAACCATCGGTTTTGTTTTCATTGATCAATAGTCATTTGAGAAAAAATCAACTTGGCTTGGATTATAGGTACAGTTTTGATCTATTTGTTTCATGGCATTGACAATATTGAGCATACTTATTTTAGTTTCACCTTGGCCCACGTCTTACCGATGTGATGGCAAATGGTTGGAATCTAACTAACTTCGAGCCAGCTTGGTTAAAAATTCAAAATAGTGAGGTATGCTCTTTCTGTCTTTGTTTTTGTGACTCTTTCGACTGTCAAATGTTTATTTTTTATCTAGAAAAGTGGGCCGAAGTTTAGTTTCGATCGAAATCGTTCTGCAAATAATCCACAAACATCAAGTAGAAGTGATACATCAACATCGTCGAATTTGTCATCGCCTGGGACAGCCGCAACTTCTGCCGTCAGCAATAATTCAAATGGCGGAGGTCGGCAAAGGCATCATTCTTTTGAAGTTTTTGATCGTACGACAACAATAATACGTACGACACCATTTAACAAGGGAGGAGGTATTCTTTTACTCTCTTGCCATGTTGTGCTTGTGTCTGTATAGTTGTTGTTGTTGTCTTTGTTTATCTAACAGCCATAGGAGAATATCATCAGTTAAACTGTATCATTTGTTATTTAGAAAAAAGATATGACCGTTGTCGAAATAGATCAATAGAGCCAGTCAATGATCAAAGTTCTTATCCAGAATCATTGGTAACAGCAAATGGCGTAGGATACTTCTCTAATCAACAACCCCAACAAACGAGAAGATCATACAGCCGAGAAAGAATGGCCGGCAGCCCATACCTAAGAGTAAGCATTGCAATCATGTCAATTATATATCGCTCTCTCTTTTAAATGACATAAAGTTTGGCTTATATCATCTTTATAGAATTCTTCATCGACTCATACAACTACACACGATTGTGTCGATAGTAACGGTTCTTCAACATCCGGTTATTTTAACGGATTTCGCTCATCTTGTGGTAGTAGTAATCAACGTCGTCTGCATTCTGCATCATCGCATAACAATAATGATGAACAACGAAGTTATCAAAAATATAATGGTTCAACAGCAACAGCAACAACAAGAACACCGACAACATCCGTGCAGGCTAATAGAAATAGCACCCGAGGCAGTTATTATCATAACCAATATCACAATAATTCACCATCATCAGCTCATTCTTCTCATTACAATTATCATTACGGTGGCGCTCAACATAACGGTTACACTACAACATCCGCAGAGAAAGGTGAAAACTCAGCAAATGATTCAGGCAGCAATAACACAAACACTGATATTAGCAATGAGATCACAAATGGAAATCAATTGAATGGAGGCGGTTTTGACTCGCTTGAGCAAGACTTTGTATGTATATCCTTACTTTTTTGTCAAGTTGTTTGTGGATAAAATTTTTATTTTGACTGAGCAATTTTTTTATCTAAAAGAACAGATACTTTAGCGAAAGTGTAGTTTAGCTTCTTATATATCGCCAAGATAAATCTACAGAAGCCTGCAGAAGAATAAGGCCGAAACATCGTAGTTTGTATACAGATCTAATATAGAAGATCTGAAAGTACTTCTCACCATATGTTAAGCGATATTATGTTCCACAAGTTATTATCTGTGATAAACACAGTCGATTTGTATGGAAAAAATATTGCTGTGACAGTTAATAAATTTTTGTTCGTATTCTTAAACTGTGTTTTCACGGCTTGCTAATATCTTTTTTTCTATTAATTTAGCCATCGCTTAGTGGCAAAGAAACATCGGGTTTGAAATCACGTTTGTCGGCTGGTAGTACTAATGCAAACGGAAATTTATTCAACGGCACTGATCAATATAGTCCAAAATCGACATGCCCAACAAATGATATTGATGGTAATTCAATTGGTTCAACGTCATTATCGCCCTCAAGCAGTATTTGGGCTAATGCAGCTGAGAAACTACGTTCATGTCATCTTGATCAAAATATTATGATATCACCCGTTCACCCTGTTAAAATTCTCGAACGATCAACATCATCTTCATCAACAACAAACACATTAACACGTGCCAGTAACCTTTTTACACCCAGTCGTATTTTAACACGAAAAGATCGTTTATTGAGTGTACCAACCAACTCATCATCGGCGTCGACAACACTATCAAATTCAAATGGAAATTCAACATTGAATAACAGTTTAAATTCGAAACCCATTGTACTTGAATTACCGACAAATTGTATAACGCAAACAAAAAATCTAGATAAACGAAGTGAATTTTTTAATTCTTTAAAAAATTCTCCGGTAACTCTTACTGATATTCAGCAACAATCAGCATCGACAGTAAATGGTAGTGGGAGCGATTTAAAAATGGTAAGTTTTATTATGAAAGGGCATAGTAACAACATAGCCGGCGGGATGTGGAGTGCACTGAGATATCCTCTGAAGTGAAAACTCATACTACTCGTTATGTAATAAAAAAAAACTAGCGAAAATAATAATTTTTTCTGTTGGTTTCTCTCCACACCACTGCACAACAATTCAATTAGCGAAGTAGTAAGCCCCGAACGATGATGATAAGAATGTTTCTTGAAAGCTGCTGTTATAACGAGCACATCCAGTATATCGCATACCTGAGCAATAAAATTTCAAATTTCTTTTCTATATTAGAACGATCGTCTATCATCGAACCGATGTTCATTAGCGGCTAATTCCAATAGCACTACCAACAATAGTCAACAACAACAAGTGTATGAAAATTTACTGAATGTGTCCGTCAATGGTACTGTCATTAGTAGTCATGAAGATGAGTGTGATATAAACGATCCAAATATGACCTCATCTTCGAGTACTGATCTAACACAAATGTCATCAATATCAATGCCTGAACCTCAAGAAGAAAAAGAGTATGTTTTAAACGATTGTTCGAATGTAGTATTTATGATTATCTTGTTTAGATTATTAACTCGTATGGGTTGGAAAGAAAATGACGATCAAACTTACACTATAACAGAGGCTGATAAAGAAGAATTTGAAAACAAAAAAAGAAAACTGTTAATGAAAGTACGTTGATAAAATTTTATTGTCTGAGAACAAATATTAAAGAAGAAATATAAAAGATTTTCTAAGTCTAAGTCATAGGAATGATTGAATTATATTAACGAGAAGTTAATAAGTTCATTAACAACTATTTTGTCAAAAATTGTACAATAAAAAACGTAGTGATATGCTACTTTCTGAATATAAATTCAAGAATTTCGACTCTTATGATTTATTATAGCTTATGTATTTCTGTTCGTACAGACTAACTGTTTTTTCTTAAAAAATACTCAGCCTAATTGGAACACAAACATCGTACACTAATCATAATGCTTTTTTATTTTAGGGTCAAGAGAAGAAGTATTCATCCAAATGTTCAGCAGCTTTAATGAAACAATTAAGAGAACGTGGTCTACCTTCGCTGAAACGAACAGATATTATTTATCTTGAAATGGCCTCTGAAGAATCAGACGATGACATTTATTGTGATAATAATCCATAAATGATTAATAATAATAATATCTAATTGATTTGTTATTAAAATGCAGAAATTGTCGCATGAATTTTTTTTATAACAATACTCCTTTTTGTCTTTTTCCTAAATTACCATTTGTGCTGTTGTTTCACCTTCCCTCAGTGACTCCTTTTTATTATTTTGTTTCAGCTTTTCTTCTAAAGATACACACATGGCTGAAAGAGAAGAACTGTTGTTTTTTTTCAAAGACCGCCGGTTTGCTATGACTTGTCTGCTTATCTCATTCTGGTATTCTGAATATTCTTAGTCTAATGTATTTTTTGTTTCTGTATATCTCATCGACCAATTCTCTATGTCTCTCTCTTTCTTCCAAACGCTTTTTATTTGAACAACGTGACAATTCTTTTTTGTCTGTGGTGATCTCATGATCGTTTAAACTACTATAAATGGGGTTGTAAGTAGAAAAAAAAAGAAGTATTCCTTATTTGTTTTTGCTTTTTGTAATAGATTTATTCTCATTCAAGTTGTTGTTTTTTTCTTTGTTTCTCCATCGACCTCTCTTTTTGTGATTTCTCTTTTATTCTTGTTTTGCGTAGAGAGAGGAAGAGACAAAAAATGAAAAATAAAAATGTTCTTTATTTGATTTTTGATATTGCTTATGTATGCACGTGTGTGTGTGTTGATGTTTCTCATTCTTTCTCTTGTTATATTTTGTTTGTTTATGTGGTTATGTTAATGCGAAGTTTGCTTTATATACGTATTCTATGAACATATATAATAATAGAATACATTGTCATTTCTCTTGTTTTCACTTGCATTTTGGATTCATCGTATTTTTTCATTTTTGTCGGAAAAATAAAAAATAAAGCATAACGTTAGACATCACAGAATCAGGTGATAGATTAAACCGCAAGATTTTTTTTAAATGAACAATTTGCACAATTGTGGGTAAAAAACGCCCTTTGAATAAACACGATCGTGGTGTTTATGGAGTTTGTTTCAACATATTTGTACGAAATGTTATTCAATCATAACTCTTCAAAAATTGGATTGTCTCTACTTGTATGAAGTTCTTGACACATCTTGCATAAAAATCTCAGCGCGGTACCAGTAAAAGTCAGTATTAACGATAGGCACTGACTAGCACCGATATATTTCTGCCAAAAAAGTGTCGTACTGACCTTTTTCTGTTTATAAAAAGAGTGATTTTATTTTAATTGAAGTGCAACACATCATCACGCCACTGCCTTGACACTTCTCTTTTGAGAAAGAAAAGATGAAGTGGAAAAGACATTCGAAATACTGCAAATATACTATGATGTTTATGCAGGCAGACGTTGACAAAACAAAACTTTGATTGAAAAATAACATTTAACACTACTGCATACCCATACCACACAAAATGTTTGATAAAATTTTTTATACGACTGCCTTTCACTAGCCTTGCTCTCAATTACGCTGAACACCATGCAAAAAAACCTGTCAAAGTTCCAAACGATGTGCCTTTTTATAATTCAAAAGCGGTTGTCACATAGCGGCTTGGAAAGATCAACTGGCGCTACTTTGAATGACTTATTGATGTGAATATCAGATCTTTGCTTTGTGGACTAATTTTCCATATGCTTAAACAGCAGAATTTACAAAAAATTCTGGTTTCTAACATCGTAATATTCCAGTATAGAATAAAACAGAGGCCTATTTCTTAAAAAAACTTAAGTAGAAAATCTGACTTAAGTCAAAAAAGACAAAGACTTTTATGGACTTAAGTTTGACTTAAGTCAGATTTTCTACTTAAGTTTTTTTAAGAAACAGGCCCCAGGTTCACAGACAGAACAAATATAAGATACCATATGTGAACTAACAACATTTGGATA